CAATACCATCAGCCAATCCTCCGGAACCCTATACTGGGTGGTTATGAGTCGGAATAAACTTGACAGCACTTAACAACAGTCTGTAACTCTGGTGGTGCTGTAGGGTAAGCACTGGACTGCTAACTTCAAGGTCAGCAGTTCAAACCCACCAGTCACTACAAGGAAGAAAGATGAGGATTTCTGCCCTGGTAAAGATTCAGAATCTTAGAAACCCTATGAGTCACTATGAATCTGATTCGCCTGGATGGCTGTGACTTTGGTTTTTGAGTTTTAGTTAGTCTGTAGCATGGTGTTTGGTGTAAGGTAAGGGGCTCCATAAATGTCTGCTGATTCTAAAAGTCCTCACTTCTCACCCCAGCACAGGCTGACACTGATGGGGGATGAGAGATATATGTGGAAGGAAGAAGGAATGTGATAGTTTAATTGCTGTACCAGGCTATTACCTCCAGACAACTTAATAGGTATTGATCCTGTGGTTCCAGCCAGAGAAAAATGCCTCTTCCTGCAGCCTGAACCACAGAATGACACATAGAAGAAACTTTGAAAAACTTCTAACCATGTTGGTTCGTAACCTGATCTGAAGACATCCACACTAAGGCTACTTAGTCTAAATCAGGGGTGGGAACCATTTTTCTACCAAAATTTGTCACATCATTTGTGGGTCATGCAAAATTATCACCTTTAAAAATTAGCCTGCTATATTTGGTCAAATATTTAATTAACTCACCCCTACTGTGATGGTTTGGTGTCCTGGTGTGGCGTTGTGGGTTAATGCACTGAACTGCAAAGTTGGTTGGAGCTACAAGATTGGCGGTTCAAGCTCACCAACCAACTACTCCTAGGAAATCCTATACAGGGTCATTATGGGTAAGAACTGACTCAACAGCACTTAACAACAACAATGTGATTGTTTGATTCGCAAGGTCAGTGGTTCAAATCTACCAGCCGCCCCTTTGGAAACCCTATATAGGGTCTCTATGAATCAGAACCAACTCGACGGCACTTAACAACAACAACAATGTGATGAATGGAATTTCGGTTGCCTTGGCAGGGTCAGACCAAATGATTTTGCAGGCCTTATGTGGCCTGTGGGCTGGATATCCCCCACCCCTCGAAATGAAGGACTGCTGGGTTCCTTTTCTATGGTTTCCTTTACGTTTCATGGTAACGATATCACGGGATCATGGGAGCACTTATTATTGTGCATTGTTAAGAAATGCGAATTTGCAGTGATATATATCCTTGCCAAAGGCAAGGGAATTAATTGTTACTTACTAAATATGGTTTGAGAAACAAAATCTTTCAAAAACACAAGATCTAGCAGAACCTGCTGGTAGCTAGACTTAAGAGGTGGTTTCACATACTGAAGAATCACCACACACATCAATTCTGAGATCTGTAATTTCACCGAGACATGCATTGCACAATGTACAGTATAAAGCTTAGGGATCAGTGATACCTGCTCTCCACAAGCCCTTGTTCTCTATTCAAAGTCCCTTACACAAGACCCTAAAACCAAACCCACTGGCACTGAGTTGATTTCAACTCATAGTGACCCTGTGGGATAGAACTGTCCCATAAGGTTTCCAAGGCTGTAATCTTTAGGAAAACATACTGACATATCATTCTTCCTCTGAGTGACTGGTGGGTTCGAACTACCGACATTTCAATTACCAGAGAGTGCTTAGCTACTGAGCCACCAGGGCTTCTCTTACACACATTGTTGTTGTAGCTGTTAAGTACTGTCGAGTCGGTTCCGATTCATAGCACAAGGCCCTTGTGAAATGATTTAGCACACACACACACAGACACCTGTGTTCCTCAGAGAATAAAGGAAATACACTGTCATTGTTAGCACAGTAATGGCATAATATAATGTAATGTTGTCTAGAGTTTATTTTTGAGTGCTGTGGCTCTGTAGGATAAGAAGTGGACTGTGAACCACAAGGTCAGCGGTTTGAGCCCACCAACCACTCAACAGGAGAAAGATAAGACTTTCTGCTCTTTAAAGAATTACAGCCTCAGAAACCCTACACAGGGTGGCTATGAGTTGGAACTTAACAAGAATATGAAGGGTTTATTTTAGCCACAACATTGTTTTAATGGTTTTGCAAATGACTTTAGCCCTATATTTCAGAATCATTAAGACTGAGGCGATCACATGAATCTGCTTGTTATACTTTATTGCATTTAATGAGGGAAGATACATACCTCAGTATCCACATATGTGGGTGTTTGCAAAACTTTCTGTACATATCCCTCAGGAATGACAAGGGTCCACAGTATCAAAGCCTCCGTGGTAATACAAAAATAACCTTTATTACCCCACTTCAATGCAAAATGAAGAAACAAAGGCATTAAGGAAGCAAAATGGTTTTCACAAGGTCACTTAAATGGTTAGTGTTGAAGCTACCATTATAACCCACAGTTACTCATTTTGATTCAAGAACTACTTCTACACTGTGTGAATAACTAGGGCAGTCACCGGTAGAGATGGGATGAAAGAAAGGTCAATAGGAAACAACTATAGAGGCAGAGATAAAATATCATTAATTAAGTTCCACCTTATAGATTATCTGTGGCAGGTTTTTAATCGCATAATTGGTCTGCTTCCCAAAACCATCTGTGCTGTTCATAAATCCACAGTCAAAAAATATTTTCCTCAAACAAATGAAAATTATTTTTCTAGGCCATCTCTTGTTTTACATCTTTGGAGAGTTTACTGTTGCTGATTTCAAAGCAATCCGGATGGTCTTTGATCTGCATTTATCTGCCTTATTATAATTACACTTGATGCCATTTTTAGCATTTGGAGGTTGGCAGGAATGATGAGACTCATTTAGTTCATTATTCATTTGTGAATTGATTTATTTTTGGTAGTTCTGTGAATGTGTGGATTGAATGAGTTTGCTTTGGAATCCGTGTTAATCTTACCAAGATACTGAACATGAATGATAAAGGAGGGTAAAGTCCTGAAAGTGATTAATCCTATGCTGTACTGTTATGATACATAATTTACAAAGACAGATGGTATTTGGTATATAAAAAAGATGGAATAACTGCCCTTCAAGACAACAATGTTAATTAACTGACCCAGTCACTTATTGTAGCAGATTGTCTTCCTATTCGTTTCAGGGCTTTTATTAGCATGTTGAGTCCTCTTAATATGTTCTGTATTTGGTTTGGGGCATTTCCAAAATTCAAGGACCCTGAAGTGCTTGGAGGATATCCAGAACTATCATTGACAATGACTAAAGGGAATGGGAAATCGGAGTGTTGCACGTAACATGAAGAGGTATTATTTCAAGGATGGTAAATAACTGCTGTTTTTCTCCATAAAGGTCAAATAGAAGAAATGGGCTCAAATTACAAGCAGCAGCATTTAGCCTGGACATAATGAACAATGCCCTGGCACTGGAACAAGCACACATAGGTGCTTTTGAAGTTCCTTCCTTAAGTAAATGTGGAGAGCAGAGGAAATATGGCCAAGGGACTAAAGCTTGTCAAACTCAAACTGTATCAAGGAAAAATGAAATTGCAGTTAGAATACGAAAGAGTCATTAGGTAGGAGGCAAAGGGAGGCCACAGCAATCAGGCATCAAATTTAAGTGGAGCAAAATATATATGGAGTCCTGGTGTGGCGCTGCGGGTTAATGCGCCAGACTGCAAAGCTGTTTGAACTGCAAGGCCAGTGGTTGAAACTCACCGGTCACTCCTCGGAAACCCTAAACAGGGTCGCTATGGATCAGGATTGACTCTATGGCACTTAACAACAACAACAAAATATATATGGCATTGATGCATTTAGGGTTGAAAATTCAATCCATTCAGAATCCAGCTATTTGTTATTTTAAACCTCTCCCCTGGCCAAACCCAACTAACCAAGATTAATTGATTTATTGGAATCTAACTTCTTTAAAAGTGTCCCTTCTCAGAAGGTCTAAATAAGAGTAAAATGGAACTTAAACAAAATAAAAAAAGAAGAAGAAAAGATGAGATCTAAGATATTTTCTAATTCAAATTCCAAAGAGTTTGCTGAGAATGACTTCTCTTTCCTGCAGACTTTATAGGAGTTCCTAATGGCGGTCTTCATTTGAAGAAAAATTATCAAACAGTGTGTCTCACCTGGAGCATTTATTAAAATGCAGTTTCTGGCATAGAACCTGAGATTCTGCATCTCTAATAAGCTCCCAGTTTGCTCAAGCTGCTACTCCAGGGACTACATTTTGAGTTGCCAGGCTCCATATTGCCACTGACCAATTTAGGCAGGCTTGCAATAGGGCTAGTCTGAATTAAGAAGTAATGTAACTGTAAAAATGATGCTGAATTTTACAGATTGCAAAAAAACAATAATGTAAAATGTCTCAATTATTTTGTAAATTAGTTGCATGTGAAAATGATAGGATTCTGGGTATTAAATTATAGAATATGAGGGGCCTTCAAAACATTTGTGGGGAAATTTTCATTATCTTTTATCACCATTTTCCCCATGAACTCTTTGAAGCTCCCTTGTATAGAGTATTAAAAATTAATTTAACTTTGTTTCATTCTACTATTTTTAATGAGGTTACCAGACAATTTTAAATGGAATTTGTGGTTCATGTTCTGTTTCTATTGGAAAGTGCTACTTTAACTTTATAGATACAGGTGATATATTTACAGCTACTCAGGATACTTTCTAGAGGTTCTTTAATGATCATGATGTTTTTGACTTTGAAAAACTCAACCTTTTAAAATCTCACATGGCAATGATGTTGTGAAGTGCAGTGGAGCCAGTTCCAACTCACAACGGCCCTTTACAGGGTTTCTGAGGAGAAGCTGGTGGGTTTGAACGGCCAACTTTGAGGTTAGCAGTCCAGTGATTATCCTACAGCACTGAGCCACAACTTTGTGGTCATGATATCAGATGATATCAGGTGAGAAACACCGTCATTTCTCATGAAAGGAGCTTCTACTGCTAGATGAAACGCAGTGGTTTCAGAGAATAGAATATGTGAGACCTGGGGCTCCGTGGCACCAGTGGACCAACTCATTCTCTCTTTCAATAGTCTCGCCGAGCTCAGGTGGCCAGTTGTAGTTCTGTTCTTGCTCCATGAGGAAATCCACGCTCTGCCACACCAGCTCCTGATCTGAGGGCTTGAGATGCTCGTAGTAAGAAAGAAGCATCTGGAGAATGGATGACAGACCATGAGCTGCCCCTATTTAACAAATAAGGTATAATTAATTCAGGCAACTGTAAATAGAGCCAACTGGATTTAGTAAAAAGATAATCACAGAATTAAAAATAACAATAATAATGGCAATATTACATGAAAACACACTATGTGGCACCTGTCAATGTACTGTCAAGTTGAATTTTGACTCTTAGTAACCCCATGTGATGGTAGAACTGCTCTACATTGTTTTCTAGGGCAGTTCAAAGTCACCAGGTGCTCCTCGGAATGCACTGTACAGCACTTAGCAACAACAACAATCTTTACTGAAGCAGATTGCCAGTTCTTCCTTTTGTGGAGTCACCAACCTTTTGTCTAGAAGCTATACACTTTACCATTGCATCAGCAGGGGTCCTTGAAAGCACACATAGTGATATAATCATTGTGTTGCCTAAGAAAGACTTCTGGGAAACATAGTTGAGAGCAAGTGCCAGCAAACTACCACCTTACGACTAAATCAGACCGACCACCTGTTTTTGTAAATAAAACTGTATTTAACATAGCCACACTCATTCATTTACTATGATCTATGGCTACTTTCAAGGAGCTCTGGTAGAGTAGTGGTTATGACTTGGGCTGCGAACCTTAAGGTCAGCGGTTCGAAACTACCAGCAGCTCCGTGGGAGAAAGATGAGGCTTTCTACTCCCGTAAAAATTTACACCCTCGGAAACCCTGTACAGGGTCGCTATGGGTCGGAACCGACTCGACGGCACTTAACAACAACAACAACAATGGCTACTTTCACACTACAATGACAGACTGAGTATTTGCAATAGAGACCATATGACCAGCAGAGCCTAAAATATTTACTATCTGGTCCTTTACTGAAAAAGATTGAGGGCTGCTCCCATCTTTAGTAAAGAAAGAAATTGCTGTAATTGACATATTGATAGTCTTCATCAAAACACTTCTAAAGTGGTGGAAAACAATTCACTCTAGGTTTTCTAAAATATTCATTCATGAAACAGACATGTACTGAGCATCAACTATGTTCCAGATACTGTTTTGTAGAAATAGAGAAAGGAACAAAACAGATAAATCCTTTCTTCTGTGATGTTAACACCTATAACCAAAATTCATTTACTTATTCCTCTATATTTAGCCCATGTGTGTTAGGCATTGAATATGGCTCAGCATATACCTTGAAGACCTCCCCATTCAGTCCATTGAAGAGAGCCAAATGTATAAATAAACCACTAGAACACAAGGTGATAGGTGCTTAATGTGTGTTGTTGTTGTTAAGAGCTATCTAGTCAGTTTCAAATAATAGCTACCCTGCCTAAGGTTTAAGAGGAGTGGCTGGTGAATTTGAACCACCGACCTTTCCGTTCAATCCGACCTTGAGGTCCAGTGCTTATCCTACAGTGTCATCTGTGTAGGAGCTAAAAGCAAAGCAAGAAAGGAAAACTTAATTGCAGGGTGGGTGGTGTCACTGAAGGGGCCACGTAGGTATGTAAGCAAAATCTTGAAGAATTCCAGCAGAGGGTCCCATTGAGTTGATTCCAGCTCATAGTGAGAGCGTAAATATAGCCATTTTGAGAACACAACTATTTTGCTTAGCTAAGAGTAAATATAATCAAGCACTGCCTGAAAGCATCTTCTATGTATCCTTGTTTCCTAAATGCATGTTTTGACTATATTAGGTTGGAATGTTAATAATTGCCTGGCTCTGCCTGGAACCTGGTCCCAGTTCTGATAAAGAGTGACCATTTGAACAAACAGGCAACAGGATAGTTCATCATGCCCTCCTTTGAGATGTTTATTGGAACATCATAACCACCTTGTGATGTAGTGGAGTGTTAGAACTATAGCTCCCTTTGTGTGTAGTACGTGATTAACCTTATCAAAGAGCAGTATAAAAAGCTCTTGTAACAAATAGTCAGTGAACTATTGTTTGCTGCAGGTGTTCCTGTAGTCAATTTCCTAAAAATAATAATAAAATATTTTTCTCTTTCTTTGTTTATCTGAAGTATTTATTCATTGGATTCAGTCTCTCCAGGGTATCAGATCCAAGCTTTGGGGTAAGAATAGCGATCCTATAGGACAGAGTACAACTGCCCCATAGGGTTTCCAAGACTGTAATCTTTACAGAAGCAGACTTGCCACATCTTTTCTCCTTGGAGCAGCTGGTGGATTGAACCACTGACCTTTCAATTTGCATCTGAGGGCTTACCCATTGCTCCTTCCAGGGATCCTTCCAGCAGCGGGTAGTGGACTGGCAAAGGCCTGTGTGCCTTAGGTGAAGAAATTAGCTTAAAAAAATAGAAATGTGGACCCAGCTCATTTTCAATTAATAGAATACTCATTAGTGGGTGTTGCTGGGGTGAATCTACACTTGACCCTCGAACAATTTGAACGACAGAGGCCCACTTATAAGCAGATTGTTTTTATAAGCGGATTTGTTACTAATGATGTGGGCTTAAGTGTTGTGAGTATCGCTTAAAAATACCATGTGGCGCTAAACATCTCTGTGTGAGCACTGGATTTTAAGCGAGAGCAGACACTTGGAACACTTGAGCTCACTGCTGTAGCAAGAAGCAAGAGTGGGGGGCAGAAATCCGCATTATAAGTGGGTCCTTGCAGTTCATACCCACATTCTTCAAGGTTCAACTGTAATCTGAGGGCTTGTCTTTAAACTCAATTCTATATATGTTAAGCTTTCTTTCTGTACCCTGACTGTCAAACTCAGAGCTCTTGACCCCTCAGAAACAGCCATACAGTAAAAAAAAAAAATATTATTCTTAAAATTGCAAACCTCATTAGCATATCTTCCCTGCCTGGTTTCCTCACTCCTCTATTAACATTCTGGGGTCATTTCTCAAATAAACCATTGAGACCCAAATCCTTGTCTCTGAGTCTGCTTCTAGGGTAACTTAGCCAGGAACTCAATGTTTCTTTGAGAAAAAGCTCAGGGCATTTGGATTTGAAATTGTTAGGGGAAAAATTTGTTTTCTAGGGAAATATGTATTCATTAGATAGGAAGTTTCTTTGTGCTATTTATGTGCATGTCTAGAATGTGTTTTTCTAAAGAACATGAAAACTGAAGGGCATAGCACTATTAAGGTCAATAGCAGGCACTGGCAGTGCTTAGAATATCACCTCATTTACACTCACCATTTCTACCCGCCTCCTATCCCAAGCACCTATGACTCTGCCAGAGATTTTCTCTGTCCACAAGAGTGTTCCCAGCCCACAGGAAAAGGGCCTAAGTGCTAGTGGATATATATGCCTGAGAGTAGCTCTACTCCAGCTGCCTCACCCCTTGGATAGGGTCGTTTCTGAGGCATGTTCTACACAGTCTCTCATAATCCCCAGTGGAACTGGGCCTCAGTTGTCCACAGTTCCTCATTAGCATATCTTCCCTGCCTGGTTTCCTCACTCCTTTATTAACATTCTGGGGTCATCTCTCAAATAAACCACTGAGACCCAAATCCTTGTCTCTGAGTCTGCTTCTAGGGTAACTTAGCCAGGAACTCAGTGTTTCTTTGTGAAAAAACTCAGGGCATTACTAGTTTACAAGCTCATTAGTCATTCACTCATTCATTCGGGCACCCCAATATATGTAGGTTCTGTGGTAAAGGTCTAAAGATAGCAGAGATAAATAAGACAATGTCCCTAATCTAAAAGTCTACAAAGTCTGCTAAGGCAGTTGGACTCATAAACCACTAAGTTGATCCATTAATATTAGTTACTTGAAAAATGGAGTCCTCGTGTGGACCTGTAGGATAAGCACTGGGCTGCAAGGTTGGTTTGAGCTGCAAGGTCAGTGGTTCAAACTCATGAGTCGCTTCCTCCTCAGAAACCCTATACATGGTTGCTATGAGCCAAACCAACTCAATGGCACTTAACAACACAACTTAAAATATGCTAGTGACTGAATCCAATGATCTCTGCCAAAGGACTACTTGAAATGAGTGTGAACTGTTCAAAGTTTTTCATCAAATTTAGGTCAATGAATTCATAATCTAGAAAAAGGATTTTAGTCTCTCATGAAAGTTATTCATTGTTAAAATAGCTACATTTCGATGTCACTAAAAATGCTTCAAAATATATTTTCCATTTTCTTCCAGAGTGGGTGGGTAAGCTACATTTCTGACAAGCAAATGATGAAAACAGATAACTTATTGTGATTTATTCTATCTGTCCAAAACTTTGGCCTGGTTGAATCCATCCATCAACTCCACTGGACAAAGGTCTGGTGATCTTCTTTGGTAAAAGACGACAACCTGGAAAGCCCTATGGGGCAGTTCTACTCTGCCACACGAGGTTGATATTAGTTGAAGTCTAGTCACTGCACCTAACAACAACAACAACATCTAGCAATATTTGTTTTCTGATGCATTTATTCTAGTTAAATGAATAATGATGACCTATGTTAAAACCAGGGACTCCTAGTATGGCGTTGTAGGATCAGCACTGGACTGTGAATCACAAGGTCGGCAGTTCAAACCCACAAACTGCTCCTCGGAACTGATGGCACTTAACAATGTTGTTGTTGTTGTTATGTGCCGTGGAGTCAGTTCTGACTCATAGCGACCCTGCACAGGGTTTCCAAGGCTGTTAATCTTTACGGAAGCAGAACGCCTCATCTTTCTCCCGCGGAGCAGCTGGTAGTTTCGAACTGCTGACCTTGCGGTTCGCAGCCCGATTCGTAGCCACTACGCTACCAGAGCACCTTGACACTTAACAATAACAATGTTTAAATGAAAATATCTGTCTTCATTCAACATTAACATTAGATACTCCATCCTACAGGTCTTAGCAGAAACTTTCACTCACCCAAATATTCGGTTCCATAATAAGAATACATCAGGGGAAATGGTTTCCTTTTTTTTAAGGCATACTGCTTCCCAGAGTCCAAAATCGCCTGGCAAATTGATTTGATCTGCACTGGAGTCAGCACCTGAGCAAGGAAATCAAGAAGTAGAAAGAAGTCAAAGCAGCGTATTATTTCCTGCTCAGAGACTGGATTTTCTTACTTAAAAAGTCAGCATAGCCCCAGAGGCCTTGTTTCTATGTGATAATGCATTTCGTAAATAAGCTTAGCTGACCATAGATATTTTTTACACCTCTTATCCTCCTTTTGCTGTCACATTTATATAGCCTCTTCAGAAAGTGTGGAAAACACACACCTTTACTGCTATGGGCTATTATAAAATGCAAAGACCACCTTACAGCTGATATGCCATTAGTCCTTGTCATAGGACAAAGAAATTGCTCCAGAAAGAACAAGCGCTCCTAATCACTCAGGCTTAACTAAGCTGTTACTCACCCAGTATGGTGCAGGCGCAGCCCAGACAATGGGCCTTCAATTTGAATCCTTTAGACTGTGCTTATAAAGCCACAATGCTTATGACAAGCTGCTACATGGCAGTCTCACTCGAGCCTTTGCATTCCCTGAATGAAATCCAAGTCCAATAGCACCAAGCCAAACAAACTTCAAGCATCAAAGAGGTAATGGCTAAAATGTAATGACTTGCAGTCTTCCATGTTTTATTTACTCTAGCCGCAGTCTGTCTTGGGAGTGTAGAGATTAAAACGGTCTCAAGCCTATAAAGCTTCATTGCATTTATTAGGATTCTGCTCAGGTTTGCCACGTGTTCTGACTCCTGCCCCTCCTCAGGGCAGATTTCATGCTCTTTGGCACACTTCCTGTATCACCAGACCGGTTTCTCTGGTGTGGCACTTACCACCTGGCATACTGTGTCTATTTCTCTACTATCCGGTCTTTAAGGGCCAGGACTGTGGTATCTCAACATTTAGGTATGTTTGGTGACTAACAGAACCTGAGAGAGCACTTGGTAACTGACAAGTGACTTCCAGGTTATCTGGTTCTAGGAGTCCCTGGGTAGAGCAAATGGTTCACTTATTTGGCTGTTCACCAACAAATTGGAGGTTTGAGTATACCCATAAAAGGTCTGGTGAAAAATCAGCTGTTGAAACTCTTATGGAGCACAGTTCCATTGACACACATGGAGTTGAAAATAATTTGTTCTCAACTAGTAGTGGTTACGAATCGGGCTGCTAATCTCACAGTCAGCAGTTCGAAACTACCAGCTGTTCTGTGGGAGAAAGATGAGGTTTTCTGTTCCCGGAAACCCTGTATAGGGTCACTATGAGTAGGAACCGACTCCACAACACAAAACAACAACAACAACAACAACAGTATGACAAGCAGAGCCCTCCCTCCCTTTCCTCTTTCTTTTATTCCCTCTCTGCTTCCTTCTCTTGCTTCCTTTTACAATTATTTCTTAAATCCCTATTAGATGCCAGCCAATCCTGTTTTAAGTGCTATAGATAGTAAAATGAATATGATAAATAAGACGTCAGCTCTCATGGAGCTAACCCTCCAAAACGGCAGATCTGATAAGGAAAAGCACTGGTCAGGTCGAAAAAGAAAGGAAAACAAAACAAAACAAAAGGTCACCTGAAGTTCAGCCTTGGTTTGGATGAATAAATCTGTGAACAAGGAAAAGTCCATTTAATTTTGGCTTCTTTCCTAAGACTCACACATCCAATTATCCTGTCAGTTCGCTGACGTCAGACCCACTTTACTTTCACTTCATTTTCCATCTCTATTTGCTCTGAACTAATTATGCTGTAACTTTCCATTTTTAAATATTCCTCTTTTTAGTTATCTAAATTTGTCTCTAAGGAGTCCTAGTGATGCAGTAGGATAAGCATTGTACTGCTAACTGCAAGGTCAGCAGTTCAAACCTATCAGTCATTCTGTGGGAGAAACATGAGGCTGTCAGCACCTGAAAAGATGTACAGTCTTGGAAACCCTAAGAAATAATTCTGTTCTCTCCTATAGGGTCGCTATGAATCAAAATTCACTTGATGGCAGTAGGTACATTTGTCTCTTGAGTTTCTTTCTCCTTTCTGTGTAAAAATTCCTGAAGACTCAGTCATTCTGTAGGACCAAGAAGAAAACTCCATTCTGTACATTAGCCTGAACACGTCCTCCTGTTCCAGGAACGTGCTAAATCAGCTCATGCTGCCTTAGAATATCCTTTCACTCCTAGCAACAGCAAGAACTAGATAAAGAATAGACAGGACAACCCAAGGCCAGATGCCAGATGTTTTCCTTATCCTAGCCTAAGAACAAAAGACCACCAGTACGGACCAATTAAACTGTAACATCTCATACTTTGCCAAATGTCAACCAATCCAAATATTGTAAAGCTGAAAAACCTAAGCTTTTTTGAAAACTCTATCAAAACTCCGCTAACAAAGAGCTCAGGGCCTTTCTCCCGAGTCTGCTATGCTGGATACGGAGAAGACCCAGGCTCGAGCTTGAATAAACAACCCTTGTGCACTTGCATCCGTGTCGGCTCCTTGGTGGTCCTTGGGGACCCCGAATTCTGGGCATAACAATTCCATATATTTTCACTTTCATTTCAGGGCCCTCCCTACCTCAGGTCTTTACTTCTCTTGATAGCAAATTTCTTCTAAGAGATTTCTTAGTCTGCATCTATTCAAATTGCTACCAAAAATTTCATCCACTATTAAAAACACCTTTGTCTACACCAACTTACCTTAAATTTATTCTTTTTGTTGTTGATGGTAGATACAATCAAGTAGGCACTGACCCATGGTGACCCTATGCACAACAGAACAAAATACTGCCAGGTCCTGGGCCAAACCCACAATAGTTGTTAACTTGAGCCCATTATTGTTGCCATTGTGCCAATCCATCTCGCTGAGGGTCTTCCTCTTTTTCTCTCACCCTCCACCTTACCAAACATGATATCCTTCTCCAGTGACTGATCTCTCCTAACAATATGTCCAAAGTATGAGAGATGAAGTATAGCCATCCTGGTTTCCAAGGAGCACTCTGGCTATACTTCTTCCAACGCAGTTCTATTTATTCTTTTGGCATCCCATAGTACTTTCAATATTCTTCTCCAACACTATAACTCACTTGTATCAATTCTTCTACAGTCTTCCTTATTCATTGTTCAACTGTCACATACATATGAGGTTATTGAAAATACTATGGCTTGGGTGAGGCGCACCTTAGTCTTCAAACTGATATCTTTGCTCTTCAACACCTTAAAGAGGTCTTGTACAGAGGATTTGCCCAATGCGATACTTCAGTTGATTTCTTGATTGCTGCTTCCATGAGTGTTGATGGTTGATACAAGAAAAATGTAGTTTTGACAAGTTCAATCTTTTCTCCAGATATATATATATATAGATGTTATTTATTGGTCAAGTGGTGAGTATTTTTGTTTTCTTTTCATTGAGATGTAACCCACACCAAAGTAGTATTTTAAGTCTTCTTCGCTTTCATCAAGCAAGGCTGTAATATCTGCATATTGCAGGCTGTTAATGAGGCTTTTCCAATCCTGATGCCATGTTTTTCTTCATATAACCCAGCTTCTAGGATTATTTGCTCAGCATACAGATGGAATAAGTATGATGAAAGAATACAGCCCTGTCTCACACCTTTCCTAATTGTAAACCATTCAGTGTTCCCTTGTTCCATTTGAACAACTACATCTAGGTAAAGGTTTCTCATGAGCACAATTAAGTGTTCTATAATACTCATATTTCAAAATATTGTCCATAGCTTGTCATGATAAAAAGAATCAAATGCCTTTTGCGTAGTGAATAAAGCACAGGTAAATATCTTTACTGAAAATCTTCTGTCATTACTCTCCTATCAAGCATTCCATTCTAGCCCATTCTCAAAACCCTGCTAAGAACCTTGAAGGCATGTACTTAATACATCTCTATCCTGGTTCTTACCACTCATCTATCAGTTTGTCGTACTGTTATGGCTTGTGAGTTGCTGTGATTCTGAAAGCTATGCCACCGGTGTTTTAAATACCAGTGGGGTCACCCATGGTGGACAGGTTTCAGATGAGCTTCCAGACAAAGACAGACTAGGAAGAAAGAGTGACGAACTACTTCCATATATTTAGTCACTGAAAACCTTATGAATAGCAGAGAAACACTGTCAGATATAAGGCCGGAAAATGAGCCCCATCAGGTTGGAAATGCACTCAAAATGTGACTGGGGAAGAGCAGCCTCCTCAAAGTAGAGTTGACTGTAATGACGTGATGGAGTAAAGCTGTGGGAGTAAAGTCTGTGGGACCTTCATTTGGTGATGGGGCACAACTCAAAATGAAGAGAAACAGCTGTAAAAATCCATTAATAATTGGAACATGGAATGTACAAAGTATGAATCTAGGAAAATTGGAAATTGTCAAGAATGAAATGGAACACATAAACATCAATATTTTAGGCATTAGTGAGCTGAAATGGACTAGTATTGGCCATTTTGAATCTGACAATCACATGGTTTACTATGCCATGACAAATTGAAGAAGAATGCTGTTGCATTCATTGTCAAAAAGAACATATCCAGATCAGTCATGAGGTACAATGTTGGATAATATACATGTGTCTACAGAGAAGAAGTTGTGTTGTTGCGCCAGACCCAAGCTGTGGTATTTTCAATAACTTCATGTGCATGCGAAAGCTAGACAGTGAATAAGTAACACCATAGAAGAATTGATGCATTTGAGTTATGGTGTTGGAGGAGACTACTGAAAGTACCATCGGCTGCCAAAAGAACCAACAGATCTGTGTGGGAAGAAGTGCAGCCAGAGTGCTCCTTGGAGGCCAGGATGGCCAAACTTCACCTCTAATATTTCAGAATTATTGTCAGGAGGGACCAGTCACTGGAGAAAAATATCATGTTTGGTAAGGTGGAGGGTCAGAGAAAAAGAGGAAGAGACCTAGCGAGATGGATTGGCAAAGTGGCAACAGCAATGGGCTCAAGCGTGGCAATAACTATGAGATTGGCCCAGGACCAGGCAGTGTTTCATTCTGTTGTGCATAGGGTTGCTATGAGTCGGTACCAGCTTGATGGCACCTAACAACAACAACAG